TAACCTGTTCCAGACTTCAATTCTATAGTTCTGGAAGGACTGAAAAAGTCCTCTTGCTGAATCACAGAACCTCTTCCTCTCTTTGGATGTGGCTTATATATTTGTTAAGATACATTTCACAACATGCTCAGTCAATGGCACAGGTTATCTGAAGCGATCTGGATATTTTAAAAACACCGACGATAACCACAAAAAAAGAAAAAAATAATTTAAAAAGGGCCTTCGTGGCCGTATTACTTGCTGAACAAAAAAGCCAAAGTACAAACCAACACTGAGGGTAATAAGCTGAGAGATCATGGTCATACAGCCAAGCGCTGCCACAGTAGTACAGTAAATCCTCTGCTTAGCGGTCAGTCTTAACAAGTGTCCTGATCAGAGCTGCAGGCAACTGGCTGGCAGGTAAGACAAGGCTCTGTGTCTTCTTCCCCCTGCAGCTCTGCTTTGACAAGGGCTGCAGTCATGTCAGCACGAACACACTGTAGCTCTTCAGCAAAACAAAAAAAACCCATTCGGATTTTCCAGAATCAAACCCTTCGCCCCACAGGAGTGCCTGGCTACTGGAGGACCCCCATCGCCTCGGGAGAACGATGGCAAAAACAGAGTTGGTTGTCAGCCAAACGCACCGGCGCTCAGCCACGCCACCCCGAGGTGCAGTCCAGCACGGGCAGTAAGGGGTGCGAACCCCAAACAGCGGTGACCCTCCCCCAAAGTGATGACAGGCACTCGAACACCCCCCCCACCCTGCATCAGAAAGCCCGCCGAGCCACTGGGATTCAGTCAGCCCATCATTGCTATCGTGCCCTTCGCAGGTTTGTCACAGAGCACTTTGGAGAACGACAGCTCAGCTCTACGAGCTGGTTCAACATGGTACAGCAGCAGACCGTCCTGCACCATCACCCCGACTCTTTCCCCACACACCCCCCGAGTTTCCCCAATACATCGCTCTCGGCACAGACATCAGGCAAATAAAAAGCCCACAGAGCAACCTCCTGGAGACCGATGGACGTCATGACCTGCCATTATGAACCTGCAGGAAACTGGGCAGCGGAGCACATGGGACCAGCACCCCCCAGCCTGGGCTCTCAGCAGCGCCCTCTGGAGGCCACTCCATGCACACCCACCAGCAGGTCCTGCCCATGGCCAAGGACAAGACGCTGTCACAAGACGAAGCCGTGCTTTCACAACTCGCTCACGCTCCCCTTCCTGGTGTGGAGAAACCGTTCACCCCCGGATTCACGGCAAAGGACTGAGATTTTGTGGTTGGGAAATATGCAAAAGAGGCACACAGCAAACGATGTTGTTGTGCAACACGGAGAGCACCGAGGAAATTCACCCAGTGTTTTTTTTCCTCCATCTTTCAGGTTCAGTAAGGTCTTTGAGGAGTTTATCAGCCGGGGGGGGCTGGGTTTGTTTTCTCAGATAAAGAGCAGCTCCACAGCTCAGTACAGCACAAAGGCAGCACAGTACAGTAGTTTCCCAGAAAGAAAAAAAAAACAACATAAACGCTGCAAATGTCAGCTTTCCACACTAAAAACCCTCCAAACCACTTTTGCATTCCGACAGCGAGAGAGAGAGAGAGACATGGTAATGAAAAATGTGGGTGTCCAAACTCAAGCGGCTTTTTCTCACTGACAATAATTTCTCTGAGCAGCAGCAGAGGAGAGAAAGAAAGCTCCCCGTGCAAGCCTAAGTGTTTTCCATCCATAAGCAAAGCGCGCTGGTGTTTGACAAGAGTACCATCCCTGAGGAGGCCAACCCTGGCTGTGAGGCACTCTGTTTAACACAGCGTGGCACGGATATTACCACAGCATCGACCTACGGGAAACCAGTGCAGCAGACCAGCCAGCACTGGCAGAGGGTCATAAAAATAATTCCTTACGTTTATCCATCACTTTTCTGGACACTCCATTCAAAGCAGTGTACAGGTAATGGGGACGCCCCTCCACCCCCACCAGTGTGCAGCATCCACCTTGATGATGCGAGGCAGCCATTCACACAGTATTGCACACAGTCCACTCCCCACACACCAGCTCTCAGTGGGGAGGAGAACAGAGTGATGAAGCCAGTTCAGAGAGGGGGATTATGAGGAGGCCATGATTGGTAAAGACCAGGGGGGAATTTGGCCAGGACACCGGGGTAACACCCCTACTCTTTCTGAGAAACACTGTGGGATTTGTAATGACTACAGTGAGTCAGCACCTCGGTTTTAAGTCTCATCCGAAGCAAGGAGGTCGAAGGGCCAGGAGGCGCAGTGAGTGAAAGGGGCAAAAGGCTGCAGAGCACACCAGACGTCGCACGCGCGTGGAACAGCAGGCCAGAGCTCGCCCTGCGATGGGCGCCCACACGCGTGGCAGCTGAAGGGCCTGCTCGGGCAGAGCTGCGAAGAAAAGCACCAGGCTGAAAGTCCTCCTGTGCTTTTCAACCCTGTACTGCCCATGTCTGTTATAAAAATGTTAACACTTTGGTTTCTTACAAACGACCAAAAAAAACAAAGTGCACGCTGTACACGAATGGACCACACTCATCCTGGAGGACAAAGACACCGAGGCAAACCGTCAGGCCGTTCCTGGGACAGACCCAGTACAAACCCAGGCGTGTCCCGCACACAGGGGCGGATCAAGGGACACGAGCAGGTGGACCGGGGCTCGGCGCGCTGTCGCACACGTGACGTCACGGGTTCGAGTCCCAGCAGGGGCAGGGAGAGCTGCCTTCCTCCCGCGGACACTTCAAAGCGACCACACCCCCGCCAACTCCTGAACTGTCAAAATCCAGAAAGGCCTGGGAATCCAGAGGGAGATGTTTAATCATGCAGTGCAGAAGCAGAGTGAATGCGATGGACTGGGAGTTCCACCAGCTGCTAAGCATGAATTAATCACCACTGGACTGCGTGAAAACACGAGTTTTATATAGCAGCACCGCGCTGACGGGCTGTGTTTCTCTGCGCTAAGGCTGTCAGAAATACACACATGAAGTGGTTTATTTAGGAATACCTCTACACACCTGTACAAAGACCAAAGCAAGTCAAAAAGTTCTCTGCTGACAGTGGTGACATTTACTGTAATCCTGAAGCTGACTCCACATCGTCTCATGAAAAAGCATGACGGTTCAGACGGGTTTTTACTCGGAGGGCAGTGTACTGCAGGGGTAAAGGACTTAAACTTGCCATTTTATTTCAAGAAAGGGTCCATGACGCAGACAGAAGCGGCGAAAGTGTGATTATTTATTTCCTGCTGATAAAAATCACCGAACGCAGATGAAGAGCCCAGAGACTCGGTCGACACTGACAGCTGACGCAACGCAGAAAGGAGAAAGCACTTGATTCGCATTTCCACAGCTCGGTGAACTACACAGCCGAGAAACAGAGGGAGCCATCCTTAAAATAAATCGTTAAAAAAAAACATTTTTTCCGCTTGATAACAGCCACTTCTACCACGCCATCAGGAACCGGGACCCGCGGGCTGTGATTAGCCTGGGTCTGGGAGGCTGGGTCTGTGCTGATCGCCTGTCTAAGCATCTGACGAACTTCCCCAATTTCATAAACAGAGATATTTAACACGCAACAAATGCGTTGGTTCCAAAGCTCACATAAATTAAACTTAATTTACTGTACATACGTGAATGTCGAGAACACTACTGAACACTAGGTCAGGTTCAGCAAAACATTATTAAGCAACATTGCAATTAAAAAAAAAAGGTATTTAAGAAAATTGTGTTGGGGGAAATGCACTAGTGGCTTTCCATATGCTTTAATGAACCAACACTTCAATTCTGTAGCTAAGGAAACGAGAAATTACTTAACCCTTTGCTTGCGCCCCGTAACGTAAACCTCTTTGAAAAATTAAGGAGAGCCGGGGGCGAAACATCTACATCTCTAATAGCAGTAAGAAGAACAGGCAGAGAAGGGTTTAGCGAGGTATCGCCTACCCACCACAGCAGGTCACAGGTTGCGGGGGTGGAGGTACCGAGCTCGAGTAATTTGGGTAGTCAAGTTCCCAAACGATGCCCCCAAACAAGGCCAAAAGCTAACCGATCGACCCCGGATGAGCAGGGGTAACTGTTGAATAATATTTAATAGGAATTCAGCAGGGGTGGGGAAAGAGGGAGCCCTTTCTGAGACTTTCTGAGGCGACCCTGGTACGAGTGGGTCAGGGAGTTCGCGGATCTGTCAGACACAGACCGGGACCCTGCAACTTCCAGGCGCTGCTCGACATTACAGCTCGACTGCATCCACTTCGTCGGCTGTGGAGCCCCGGAACCGGCGCCGTTTACCACACCGAGGTCGGAGAAAAGAGGGTGAAAACGAGCTCGCTGCCCGGACAGCGCCTGTCTGCCTACACGGTGAACCACAGCCGGGCCCCTTCTGGCTTCCTGTGCGCTGATGATACAGCAACAACAGTTACATCCACCGAAGCCCTCGCTGCAAAGCTGAAGAACATCGTTACCCACTTTTACAGCTCGGATGCGACCCAGCGCCCAGAGTGTGTGTGTGTTTTTTCCTTTCTTTCATTTTTCTAAGAAAAGGGCACTAACAGCAGTACCGCTGGTGCTCTAATCAAAGAGCGAGAGACATAACGGGTTTTCGGCTAAGCCCTAGTCGAGGAGAAATCAAAACGGGTTCTCTCTGCTGTTTAAACCGGACTAGTAGCAAAAGGAAACTGCAAACGTGTCCACATCTTGAATTAATCAAAGCCCCAACACTAACCTACAACCCCCGACTTTACAGTGCATTACGAGTCAAACTTTTGATAGCTACAGGACAAATGACAGCTCACCATTAACTCGTACTTCCCCTAACAAAATTCAAGAAAAAGTTCCCCCCCCACTTTGTAAGCCTGAAGTGTTGGACGTACTACAGCGGACTGCTGTACGCGTCTTATAACATTGATTATCTAGGCAGTTTTCATCGTTTGCATTATTCTCATTTCTCGAAACAACGACACGGCTCGATTAGAACTCAACAGCGTGCATTTCCAATAACACTCAATTAAAGTTCTACTCACCCATTTATGTTCGCTTGGGGCTGTTGAAATGTGGAACCGATGGACTTTTTTTTTTCTTTTTTGTTCCGATGCCAAAAGACAAAATATATCAATGCAAATTTAAAAAAAAAAAGGAGGGTAAAGGGGCAGTACTTTCTGATGTCCAGCGCCTGAGCCCTGAGCCCCAGCCCCCGCTTTTGAGAAGGGAAATGCGCGTTTGGGTGGTGGTGCCTAATTGCGGAGCAGGGGCTGGAGAATACGCACCATATTCCTGCGGCGGTCTGTGATTTCGGCACAGAGGGAGGGGGGCGATAAATCGTGATACCAGCGGCTGTGCGCGACTTAGTATCCCCGCTATGTGCGTTACTGTAACAGCCTCCTTCTCTCTCTCTCTCAATTCAATTCTCTCTCTCTCCCTGCAGCCGGGAGCCGGAGCGGACGCAAGCCTCGCGAGAACACACAAGGACTACAACAGCGGCGCGGGCCCTGGCTGTGACGCCAGACGCGCCCGTCACCTGCAGGTGCCCCCCGGCCCCGCCGTGGGGGCGTCATCGGGATACACTACAGCGGAGCCGAGACTTGAATTAAGAAATGCATGAGGCCGGGTCTGCTGTGCAAGCAGCTAAGCCCCGCTCTCCTCAGACTGCCTTAGTTCAGCTCACCCTTGAAGGCTCTTGAGCGTGCTGATGGGTTTGATCATCGCAGTAAGGTCGAAAGATTCAGCTGCTGGTTACTGGTAACGCCTGTTGCTGTATGAAAATGTGGGAGCTGCAATTTTTTTTTGAAAAAAGAAAGTTTTACATAGAATTACTTGAGAAGCTTTGAGGAATTCCTGTCTGCCAGGATATGTTTTGTTGAATCGGTCCAGTCCAGACTGTTGCAGCTGGTGCTGGGCTCCTGGGTGGTATTTACCAGTGCAAAATATTCCCTGATTTCTTGGTATCTGGCCTATTTTGAAGAGGGCCCAGACTGGGCTGCAGCCTCCTGCCGAGCTCCGTTGCACTCCTGACCCCTGACCCCTGAACCTGACTTCGTCACAGGAGCTCTCAGAGAGGTCCAGTTCAGTTGATTTGTCATGGGCACAAGGGCAATGACATGCTTTACATATAAATATCTTAATACTGTATGCTGTAGGACAGCTCTAAACTCTCCTACAAAATCAGTCCCAAAGGGCGGGCGTGGTGGTGCAGGGGTTAACGCCACTGTCTCACAGTGCTGGGGCCTGGGTTCAGTACCTGGGGTGCTGTCTGTGTGGAGTTTGCACGTCCCCCCCCATGTTCATCTGGGTTTCCTTTGAGCGCTCTGGTTTCCTCCCACAGTCCAAAAACGTGCTGGGAGGTGAACTGGGAAAATTGTCCCTGGTGTGTGTGTGTGTGCCCTGCGATGGACTGGCGTCCTGTCTGTTATATTCTCTATTGCCGGTCATTAACCACACACACAACCTACTGTGCTACATACATACATTTCTATACTAATTACATATTCATGAACTGCGTCGTCCGTGCAGTACGGCAGCCCGTGAGGATCACACCCTGCCAATATCCTCACGCTGCCCAGGATGCACCCTGCCCTGTGGCCGGTGACTGGCAGGGGGCTCGGGCTCTCCTGCAGGCCTGGGTAGACCATGGATGGATGGAATGAAACCAAGCAGGCGTGTGGGGCGCCCAGCTCCAGGACTGAGAAGCCCCTAAGAGGCGATCGACGTCCGTGTAGCGCGGAGAGGGATGGGGGGGGGGGTTTTCACCAGCGGTGAAGACTGGGGCACAGGCCGCAGCCCTGTCTCTCGGCCCAGCTCCCAGGGCGGAGGCGGACAGGTTTTAGCAGCGATACAGGTGGAGGTTGTCAGGCTGAGGTCCACAGTTTCAATTCAATTCAATTCAATTCAAAGGGCTTCACTTGTGCGACCAGACTATTCCAATCTGACAGACGCACAACAACCAACAATCAGCTAGAATTGGTCAATAGAATTAACAACTATAGTGTTATCATTATATATATATACAATATAGAAGTCAAACGGAGTAATCCTTCCAGGGTTAGCGGTGCTTTGAAGACGACCCTGGTAGATTTTAATATACATTTCTATGCATTCATTTGTGCTGTGTTTTCAGTGAACGTTTTGGAAATGTCACTGGCGTCCCAGCCTGCGGGAAGGGCTCCTACCGGGAAAAACAAAATCGTCCAAAACAGCGATTCCACCATCGCTCCCGTTCATCTCCTCTCTGAACACAGTCGGATAAAACCAAAGCCACGCGTCGGATCGCCCCTTTCCGAGGACGCCTCTACAAAAACAAGCCCCCAAAAACATCCAGATCCGCAGTTTCAAGGCGATCAGGATACAGCCCGTCTCCACAGCCTTCTCCTGCTCGTCTCCTGCTCAGTGCCGCCCTCTCCTGGCCAGGTGACATTCAATGATTCCTCAGGCTGTTACAGCCTGGATGTGGAAGACGCGACTGCTCAGCAATGTGCCGGCCTTACTAGTGTGTAGTTCAGTGATTCGGCTCTGTACTAAAGTCACGGCAGGAGTAAATATGTCAGCTGGCACTGGCTGCATAAAACACCACGAAGTATTAACTACCTTCAGTAACTAATACAACAAGGGTGCCTTCACAGTTAAACACGGTCCTACTGACTTCCGAGTGTTATTATCCTTTGGACTGCACCTATAAACCGAAGCAACCTGCAAGGTCAGGAGAAAACTAACTTCATGTTTCGTGCAAATGATCTTTAAAAAAACTGTGCTCCCCAAACACAACACAACTCAGACAGGGGTGCCTTAATTTAATCTTCAGGCGCCTGTTAACTGACTGTTGAGAAACAGTGGGTTTTCTACTTTCCCTGTCAGAACTGGGGGAGAGAGTCATTGCTCTTCCCTACTGTGCATTTACCTCTCTTCTGTGGGCGGGTCTTTTCTGCCTACACATACGGCATAAGCAGTTAATTCCTATCCATACTGGCAGCACACTGACGCACAACCTTATTTTAACAATTTGTTTTACCGGGCAGTGATTCTTACGTCATGTTGTGAGTTTTAAAACGGAGCCGTTCACCAAAAGCTCATTTCTGCTGTCTTTTCATCTCGAAAGATGCTGCCACGTTAAAAAAAACAACCACCTTCGTAGCCCTTTCAGGCAAAAAGAGAAAACAACCCCTGCAGTCTGTGAGATACCAGCCTTGTGTGCCAATGCCTCCCTTTCAAAATCTGGTTTGTTTTCTAGTTATGTAAGTACTCCCACTGTATGAGCACTGTGCTTTAATCTTTGTTTCTGCCCATGCTCGAGTGGACGTTCACAAAAATGAGAATCTGGCCATTAGAATCAAGTGAGACTTCACCCCCACAGGACAGTGTTCAATTCCTGTATTGCAGCAGATCTTACCTTGCTGGCCTTATGGACCAATACATGGGAACGAGGTTTGACGGAGAGTTGTCATATTATAACGAGCAATTCAAGGCTAACAACAGCAGGACAATAACCCTGCACAAAGCAGAGCAATACTCACTGCAAGCATGGTCTCAAGGGCATCTCTGATGCCAGGGGTCCCAACTCTGGTTCTGGGGCCTCACAAACTAGCTTACTCAGCTTGCTCGCTCCACCTGAGCACTCAGTTCAATAACTGGACCCTCAGAGGACCCAATAAACACAGACCGAATTGAACTACTATTTTCGATTCCCATACATCTAGGAAAATTCCTTTTAACCATTTTGTTTCTTAGGTAGCAACCTTCAAACTCCGAGAAGAAGTAAAAAAAAAAGTTCAGCAGCAATGAAAACTAGCATGTGAGCGCGTCCCCAAACCCAGAATTGGGAAACCCTCTTATGAGAACGAGAAGGAGCGCTTTAAAAATCCAAGAGCTATCAAATGAATATACCAAGTCATAGAATTACAGAGAATATTCCAAGTTCAATCCTGCACAATTCGTCATTATTAAAGTCATGATGAAGAAAAGACAAATTACAGTCTGGGAACATCCTTACAGCAGCACGGTCTTGTTCAAGATGTAATGCACACATCTGGTTCTGCTTGTCTGTGGCTTAGCGCAATTCCAACTTCACTTACACGTAACAAGAGACTTATATTTTCCACTGGCTTTGGACTGACTTTTTCAACTGGGGCAGAACTCCAGGTCTATAGCTGTGCTGAAACATCCACTCTGGAAAGCTACATAGCCTGAAGCTAACAGTTTCGTCTGGGTTGCGACCCTTATCATTCTGACAGTTAAAATCTATCAAGTCTTGAAAATGGGTTACTAATGGTTATATTGAAGGGAGCCATTTCCTGCCACCAAGGTTTTAATAGAACATTAACTTAAGAATTTCCTGTCTTGTACTAATCTCTAAAACTCATTGCCCCCTTTCCAACTCTGGAATATATTGATCGGCTGGTTTTATTGTCCGTCCGTAGTAATTCTTGAACTCTCAGACGGTGGCTGCCAACTATAATAAAGACCTCAGCCATTGTACTTTTGTTATTGAAGCCAAAGAATATGTACGAACATGTAGTCTACAAGGATCATTAACTCTTAAGTCCCTTTTTTGCTGTGCCAGCAGCTATACATTTCACAGAAGTTATGTCTTATTGGTACGTATTTTTTCCACTCAAGAGGCTTATAGTATTGTGGGTGCAGTACTAAGTGAGGGTAGGAACAAATCAAGGTTAATTCCACGCTGAAAGGAAGAAAGGAGTCCCCTAAAGAGAGCACAGCAGCCAAAACATTGCATTTCTTCTTCTCTCCACCATGGAATTAACCTTGAGTTGTTCCTTTCCTGCCAGCACACACTGATGCAGCTTAATTAAGGACAGTGAGACTGGACTATGCAATCGGAGATGCATATTACAGACAGGGTGGAGAGAATGACCCGGGAGTCCTAAGTGCTCATTTTGTACTAGACACCGATAAAATAAGCATTGGAAAGATCCTTGATCCGAGTTCACATGCAGCTTGTGAAATAAGTTAGCTGAACAAGCAAGCATCTTAATCGGCAAATCTTTATGTTCTTGTCAGTCTGGGGTTACAATGACTGTACCGAAACCCTCAGCATATTTTAATGATAACGTTTACCACACCAGTTACCGGCTGGCATTTCAGAATTCACTTTAGGCAACTCTTTGGATGATTTGACTCTGTTTTTGTTACTTGCAGAGGACCGAATTCACACAAAACCGCAACACTGTTGAGAAACAGCCACCTCAGATCAAGACACCACCACCTTCAGGAAGAGAGCCACTCTGAGATGAACAGTCATTCATTTTTAATAACATAAAATTAATACAAAAAAAGACAGGATGATAAAAGGCCAACATGATTAAGATAATATGCACGCAACTCTCACTTTTTAAACAACTTAACAAACAGGAAATCCCGATAGGATCAGAGGCTCCACCAGTTTATGATGTAGGGAAATCCTGCAGTTAAACGGAAGAGCAGTAGTGCACAGTGAAAGGTACTCCATTAAGAACACCGTCTGTGCCTCCATTTCTCACCATTCTTCTGCATATGGCACTTTCTGACATCTCTAGGGCACCAGGACAATGCAGTGTCTCTTTATTAATGTTACCCAGCGCAATGAACTCCTAGATGCATGACAGAGATGTTCCCTCATGCTGATGTGCAGGCTTCTTTCTAGCAAAAACGAAGAAAAAAAAACATTAAATTAGATTTAGGGTAGTTTTAAGAATGCCACGAAAAATATGGAATCACTTGTGAAGCCAGAAATGAAATTTGTTCTTAATTTAAAAAGACATCTTGCATTTGGGACGGGACATCACACACAAAAAAAAGCGCATACACACTGACAGCTGGACACAACGCTGTTGTTGATAACCTTCATAGGAGGTGAAGAAAATGAATTCCCCCCCTAAGGAATTCAAATGATCTGTCGTGTTGTTTGGGAGATTAACCAAGCACACAGAAAGAAAACCCTTACCAGCAAAAGAGAGAAAAACAGTGCAGGCAGAGCTTAACAGTCAAATCAAACAGCACAAAGCCAAGTTGTTTTTTTTTCCTGGCCCTGGAAAATGTGGAGAGAATTTGCTAGGAACAGCAAAACATACGAGGGAGGAGGGCTGTGGCATTATGCAATTGGTTTAGAGGATGGCACTGAAATGCTGATACTGATGGAATCCTGTGCCCAGCTATCAAATCTCTGAGGCTGACTGTGAAGGCACAGCCTGCTGATGGATGTCTGGCTACACACATTGAAACTAGCGATTTGCTCGCTGGCAAAAAAAAATGTGAATCTGTAGCGCCTACCCCACTGGGATAGCAAAAAGATACAAGACCCCATACAACCTTCCTTGGTCCCAATGAACTGAACATATTCTATACACACGGCGTCAGCTTTAAATGATTAGATACCTGGATAGCCCCAAGAGCCCTCACCACCTGCGGTATCCTGAGCTTCGGATGTGGGCTCCCTGCTGGCGCAAACTCTGCAGGTTCCTGTACTTGGACTGGATGCCAAGGCTCTTCTTGAACACAGGATTCTGCTGCACAGATGGGCGCAACGGCAGTTTAGGCTGTAAATTCAAGCAGACTCATCAGCACCCAGCGTGCCATAAACATCTGACAACAGTCGGGCTCCGCTAAAAAGATATTCCAGCGACTCCGACAGCCAGGCCGAACCCGATAAGCAGAGCTGGGTGGCGATGAGATTTTGAATGGTATTCCCTATCACAGATACCCATCTGCACTATTTCATCTGAACTTTTCACAAGACTCTTTGGGAATCAAACTACAGCACAGCACCAACATGGGCACTATTAATCTCACTTGGAGAACAAAGCCAAGACGTAACTTCAAAAGACTTGGGCCAAGAAGGCTACATGCATGAGTAAAGGGGCTACTTAACAACAAAAAAGTGGCCAATTTCAAATACTCGTCTATGCAAATGTAAAACATGCACATTGAGAAGGAAAGCATTTCTTCGCTGCTCAGACGGAGAGAGAGAGGTTGGGGGGTGACAGAGGGTCAGATACAGTACCATCAGGTGTCGCACATGTCCAGGGTTGTCCACAAGAGGTTTCTTCACGAAGGGAGAGGGCTTCTGATTGTAGTCATCCGAGCTGAAAGTGCTCTGCTGCAACAGAAAACGCTTGCCAGTCACTGGCACAGCTACTCCCAGAGAAGCACGTTATCACTTTCCACTGCAGAAAGACAGCTCATCCTCATTCACCCTCTGTGCAACGTCACTACACGATTCTGTGCTACACACATCTGGCCAAGCGCATTCTATAGCTAAGCCCCATGATGCCCAGTACCTGAGTTGATCCAATGGTTTTCACCAGTCTCAGCTTTTTATGAATCTCCGGCAGGAGCTCAATTTGCCTGGAAAAAAAAGCCAAAGAAAGCTCTCAGTTCTTCAGCATGTATAAATGCACATCAGTGTGTGTCCCAGGTGTTTGAATGTTTTTAATTTCATAATTAGAACTGACCGTCTGTGCCTTGTAATAATTTATTCTTAAATCCCCTCTCAATACAGTGAAGTAATTCATTGCTAAGTCACTGGATGTCGCAATGTTTCTCTCCAGAAGTTCAATGAAGTTTAAACAGCTTCTATACAAACCCCATGCACGTGTACTGTATGCATGAAACTTTCAGGAGAAAAATCTAACCGAAGAAGAGCACAGAGAGCAGTCCAGAGCCAACAGAAAACTTACCTTTGAATCTTCAGTCCAGTATAATGTCTCCTTTCACCCTGACCTGTTGCCTTTGCGTCCTGAAGCTTGGTGAACCGCTCGTTTAAAGTTATATTCTCATGCCTGATATAGCTCTCTGTAAGACATCAAATGAGAAACCCAGCATGGCCACATGTCCTGTGTAAGCAAGCAGCAGCACTCCAACTCCTGGCACAAAGCTCTCAGCATCCAAACTGATGGCCCTCAGGGATCAGGGATAGGAGGGGGGGTGCCCGTGAGAGCTGCCTATCCCCACTCCAGAGGGACAGCAGCACACAGCCCCCTAATTCCACACAGCCTCTTGTGCATCTTCCTAACAACAAAACTGAGAAACCCGAAACTATCCTTCACAATCTATATTAAAAGGGGGTAAAAGTGGGGAAAATTAAAAAGCAGCTGCTCACATTTACTCTATAGTGCCCACGGTTTTACACCAAACAAAAAGACATTAAAATGCAATGAATAGGTATGGAAACTGACACCATGCTGCAGGTTTAATGCCTCTCCATGTTGTAAACCTGACGCTTTTTTTATTTTCAGTGTTTAACTGAAGACACCCATACCTAACACCTGCAGTTAAAATCTATTGTTAAAGGAGAAGCATTTTGGAAGAAATCTCACAGTCCCGGGAAAGTCACTTAATCCGGTCAGAAAGATTCCTTGCAGAACTTGCACAGGCCCAACTTCCTCAACAGCACTGCAACAGAGTGAGACCCAACGGCACAACCTCCTGCATGCGCCCGCCAACCCTCTCACCACCCTCACAAGCCCCTCCTTGCACACATGCCATGCACTTCCAGTCACTGGGCTCTGTCTGCAAGACAAGCAGGGCAACAGTATGTCCCAAAGCAGTCTTCGACATCAGTTTACGACTTTGCAGGTTACGATTCGTCTCCGTCTGCCAAGCAGAGAGGATAATGTCATATCCATTGATGGCTTACAAACTACAGGTAATAAAATGCACATCAATTCACCCTAACTCAAGTGCTTTCCCTTGTACGCAGGGCTGTGACCAACCTGTTACTTGGTGGACTTAAATGGTGAGGTACTGGGCAAAGTCACCTGTTTGATTCTTAGAGGCGTTTCTTCCCCAGGACCCAGACTTTACCCCAGCGGGGGACTCCAAGCCTCCACTGGAGATAGCAACCAAATCCCGGGAGAGCTGTCTGTCTGAGTGGGAAGAGGAGCTACAAAGAGAGCAGCATACAGCATAACAAGGCAGATAAACAGCACCCGAAGAGAGACACTCCACTCCAAAGACACTGGCCAAATCACTACACAATTTGCAACTCAGCAGCTCTTGAATACCTGTTTTAAACTTATAATTGACAAGTTACATTATCTAATAAGGCACATTCTTCATTGAACACATTAATGAGTTGATTGCACAGAACTAAAACCATGCCTGACGATATGAGTGTTTACTTGAAAAGAACACAGTAAACACAATGGCAAAACTAGACAAGGCGTCCACGCATCTAGACTGCAGAACTCAATATGGCAGGCATCGATGACCAAGAAACATGTGGCATACGCAGAGCACACCACACTACTGTGTTCCAAGCAACTTAATAAGTTTTCTGCTAAAATGGTTTTTCATAGTTCCCTTTCTCTCTAGTTCTGCTAGTGCATACAAAACAAATGTAAAATGAATAAATGATGAGGCTGGTTATAAAAAGATCAAGCTGCTCCTCCACTACACAACACAGGCTTCCAGTAATTACCATTCCGAGGGTATGACTCCAGAGCTTCTGCAGAAGACCTTTCCAGTGTCGCCTTCCCTGCTCTAGAGAGCTGAATTAAGCCTTTGGGACAATGAGATCCGTTTTCCTTCTTTCCTTTTAAATGAGCTTTTATATCCCAAAGCCCTCCTGTGCAAAGCACTGTTAGTTCATCCCTTTCTTAATATACAGTGCATAGTCAGCAGCGAGGGGAGAGTCAATTTACATGGGAATCATCTTCCTTCAGAGGGCAAGCTGCTTAATGTTTCCAAATGTGGAAAGCTGAATCCAATCTCGGTTTTCCAATTCTATGCGAGATGTTTAGGGGGTTAGTTTAAGAGCCATTTCCTTTTTCCTCTTGCAGATTTTACACTCCAAAAAGGGCCATGCTTCAGAACAGTGGGAATAAGTCCCCCCAACAGAAACGGGATTTAAACATAACTGGGTGAATTATTTTCTGGCGGGTGGGGGAACGATGGAAACGTCTTTCTCTCATTTTACAAGAGTCCGTTACGAGTTGTATCCAGTGAGCAGCTAGCAGACCCTTTGCTTTTGCTTGCGAGGTAAAAAAAATGGAAATGCAGTGTATTAAACTACACGCCTTAGAAAAACAGTGCTTATGTGTCCAGGAATAAATCAACATATAAAATCAGAACAACCTCCACTCTCAAGGACAGCACAGCTGTGCAACTTCAGCCTCTTTGGGAACGGACATGAACACATGCAAACTAGACCAGTTCCCCTCAGTTCAGCAATACAGCCTCTGCAGTCCCAGTGCTGCGAAATCAAATTATCCTGAAGGATTCGTGTGTTGAATGAATGCCAGTATAATACACAAGCCTAGATGAACGCAAAATTTCAGTAAAGGATGCATGTGGTGGACGACCTTTCCCAAAGGACAGATGCTCTCTGCTTTCGTCATAACTGCTCACAGATACACACGATAGGCAATGTGTGTGCTTTTCGTCAGGAACGAGATATCCATTTGGTTCAAAGCGCCCATGGCCCTGGCTCATACAGGCATGTTCCTGCTGAGGGGACATCTCAAACAAAGCAGCGGTGCCCACTGGGGGCACCTGGTCAGCCCCACTCCTCAGACATCCAGATCTTCTGCAGCCGTGCTCTTACAAAAGCAGACTTCAAGCCAGGCTTTCCGCAAAGACAGTGGGAACATTGCATTTTACATGCTGATGCTTCAGTGACTAAAGAAGGTGAAAGATGTACGTCTTTCCAAAAGATTGATTCCTTAATTCAATGAGGAATTTTAGTATCACGTTGCACACAAATACTGGAAGATTCCAGACATCAGTCGACGGGGGCTGGAGATTTGCATGCTCCTCCAGGAAGGACAGGGTGGAAGTTCAATCAGCTCTCATCCTCACGTCCCCTCGTGTGTCCAGATTTGGAGACTGGCATCCAGTTTGGGCTTTGCTCCCTGAGATTTTCCATGGATCCACTGGAATGTGTCGGAGTGCTCCCATGGATTCTGGAACAACCCCCACCCTTAGGAGGGGCTGGAATATGTTCTCCTCTTCAAGGAGGCAAGCCTTGACAAGGATGCAGCATCCCACTCCATTGGCATCATAAAAAGGCTTATTTACTGAAAAAATCCCTTTCAGTAAGAGAAATGTCCAAATTTTGCCGCAGCATTCCAGTGTATCGCATGCTCAAAAGGGGTTCCAGACAATTATAACACTACGGAGTCTGTCGCGTGGCAAGGTTTCAGAGCCATGCAAGAAAAGAATAAAAAACACGATGCATTATGTTTTTACAGGCTTGTTCCACCTTCAATGGGGAAAGAGCTCAAGGGTTTAAACTCCTTAGGCGATGCGTGTAAAACAGAGAAATCGCTCCTTTTTCTTCCAGCTCACGCAGAGCTTATCGCGGAGCTAAGCTGAGGTCATCCATTTGGAGACGGCAAAGAAAACAAAAGCTTGAACTTCTAAAACCAGCCTCATTAAATCGAAAGTACCTAAACTCGCATACCATACCTGCTTTTGGTCAACGAATGTCTTGTGTCCACCTTGATTGTTAGAGTCTCCGTTCCCATTAAGTCTTCATCCGATGTAGAATTTTCGGGATGCTTGTAAGGCTGTTTATTCTGACTATTCACTTTGAGGGTCTTCCTGCGCTGCATTTTCAAGGAATCGGCATCGCTTCCCAGCTCGCTTGTCGTCTTCTGCTTGGCGACGGAAAGCCTGGAGGTGGCATCTTTCCCGAGAGCCTTGTCAAGCTTCTTGAACACCTTCTCTCCAGCCACGGGCTCCTCTGGTGAAGCCTTCTGACTGGCATCTGCCAGCCTGCTGCTCTTCCTCCCCTTGAGCTGGATCTTCTCTTTATTCTGCGAGGGGACCGACCTGCTTTCTTCCTCCCTACTTCCACAGCTCCTTGACTTCTTACAGGGCTCTGGCGTCTCCCTTCTCTGGCGCTGGGGACTGTGCTCGCTTGCTGCTGCTGAAGAGGAGGAAGATCTTTCGTGATGCCGCCTTTTGAGCGGTCGATGTCCCTCCCTTCTTGGGTCTGCGGCCCTCGCCGTGTGGCACCTAGGCGGAGAGTGGCCCGCTTTCCATTTTGGGGACCTGTACGGGCGTGCTCCGTCATCCCACTCCACGTTTCTGCCTTCCATTACCTCGCCGTGCTTTCTGAAATCTGCAGAATACCTGTGTATCCACCACAGAGAACACAAAGATTTCATTACACCGCAGCACTGCAAGCTTTTGCCGGGACTGTATTTCAGCAAGGCTGCAAGAATGCACCTTCCCCTCATGCCAGAATCTGTTTGGCTTACACAGGCAGGCCAGTAAGGATTTATCGGCTGACTTAATCATTAAAACCTCCCAAGAATGAAAGATGGCTAAGGCATACAATACATTAGTTAACAGCTCTGCATACTTTACATTTTCAGATACAAAGGAGGAATGGCTATTTTGTTTTGGTTATTCTGCTGTGCTTGGCTCAGCCTTTTTAACCCCACTTTACCCAGGCTGAATGGGTCGGCTCGTATGCTTCTCTGGATGAGAGCCCCTTCTGTGAAATTCTTCCGAAACTCGTGGAGGGGAGAGAGAATACCTCCGTCCTCCGGAGTGATTGTAGGGGAAGTCTTCCTCCCCGCTCCATCCCTCTCCCTGTGCGTAGCGATCGAAAGATCTTGCTCTAGGCCCCTCCCGGCCACCCCTGGGGCTGGGACTCCTGCCTGCTCCAGGGGCTACACCCTGGTAGCGGCCCCTGTGGTGCTCCACTCCTCGGGGCCACCCGTCGCCATCTTGCTCACGGGAGAGAGCCCTCCCACGGGGAACAGGGGGCAACCCGGGTCTTCTTTCGTAGGGGTGTCCGTGGAAGTGCCTTGGAGAAGCAGGTCTCCGGCTGCCTTGAGATCCTTGGAAGGCTGCTCTGGGGGAAGGTCTCCTGAGGGCTGGGGCTCCATGCGCTGCCCCGGAAGGGGACAGCCTGCGTGGGGCGGGGTGTGCATGCGCCGGCCTTGGGGAAAAGTCCCTCCTGGGGCCTTGGTAGGGCTCTGGGGAATGGTGTCGCGGCTGGGGCAGATGCCCGTGAAACGACCCCAGCTGTGGAGGTCTCCACTGGGCAGCAGACCTGTGGTAAGGGCCTGGAGGAGCACTCCGATGATTCATCAGCGCGAGTCTGCCCCTGTCAGAGTGGAAGGATCGGCTGCTGTGAGCCAGGCCGTTGCCCTTGGCCTCTCTCCAGTGTGAAAACTTTCCTGGGCGGGCCCTGTAGTCCCTCGTGTCCGGCCCACAGTGATCCATCAATGGCATTCCTCAGTGGCTCTGCAGGCCGCTTCCAGAGGTGTCGGAGTAAGACCTGTTCGACGAAACACCACAACGCAAATCACGGCACTTATAAATAACAGATAACGGTGTTTATTGTGTTTCCACCTACACATGCCTTTGTCTTGTTAAATTTATAAACAGGTAATTAAGGAACCTAATGTTGGCAACTTTGAAAGGAAAAATTCTAAATCAAGGAATTCCAGATGTCTTGAGTGAGTGAAGTCTGGCCATCTTTTGTAGTCTCCTCACTTCTGAACCACTCACAGAGGGGAGGCAGAAGAATAGCTCTGTGCATCTGTAATTGACTTTTCTTCATTAACTCTATTGCTTCTACCAATCGATCGTTAAGCAGGACGTATTTCAAACTTAAAAAAAAAATTAACTTGAGGCTGAGGGTTTAAATTCATAACTAAATTTAAATGAAAAAGAATTACCTAGGGGAGAAAGTGTGACAGAGTTCACCAACTGATCATATGCAGCCTCCTGATTTCAGCACTGCAAAAAATGAAAAAAAAAAGAATGAAAAATAACCATTGCATATTACTGTCCAGGGACACGTCTCCCTGCTGTATTGGCATTTCTCCAGTCTTTCTGTGGGGAACAATATCACTGCATGGAAACCAAAGAATCAAAGGCTAATGGTGATTTTAAAACATCTGCTGCTCAAGGAGAGCCATAGAGGGCTTTCTTCTCATCGGAACACAAATCGGGGTCTGAATTATTCTGAAAAGTTACAAGACTATAACTTTTATAACAAAAGCATAACATACAAACCGGGCAAGCGGACGTAAAACAACTTCAAGCACTGTCACGACATAAAAACGAATACTTTGCATTAGCCTGAAGGAGGATTTTGGGAATTGTAGCCAAGTCTGCCATCTAGTGTTTCAAGAGAACAACAACAACAAAAAAAACTGAAAACCTGACTCAAAGTCAAAACAATATCCAGGACAGCAACACCCGTTTTTAAAACGGGTCATTTGATGTCAAATTAGCCAAACAGTGTGTCCGCGTTTGGAGCTGACTTTAAGCACAGCTTTCCATTCATCAGGATCCTGATAATAGCGGATGCAGCCCAGCAACACATATTCCAGAAGCACAAGGTGAGGGTGCACTCTGGGTGGGACACTAGTCCGTCTTGGGACACACACAGGGGGACAGTTTGGAGACACTATTTGGCGTAGGCAGCCTGTCTTTGAGCTAAAGTCGAGGCTGTTTTCAGCTGTGATCCACCAGCACGCTTTTTAAAGTAAAAGAAGCCGGTAGCATTTACAACCTTAAACAGCTCAAACTTTCGATCTTATTTTCAAGCTCGCCTTGGTGGGGGGGGGAGGGGCGCCGGCCACATTTTCGACGGCACCTGAGCGCAAAACATCCTGAAATGTTACGGGTTTAGAAACTAGCATCACGTATTTAACGACGGCCGTCTGTCTTTGAATTTTCCTAAGCTTCACACCGATTCCTTACCTGATAATTAAGCCATTATGGGGTTCAGACCTACTCACGACGAGAGAAAACAGACACGCAAGTGACATTTACTGTACAGTAGCAATCTGTACTGTACATATCCCACGGCTGGCCCGGACTGAAAACTTTAAAGGGTTTACAAGGGGGTGCAGTCTTAACGCAGTTCTTGTTTTCAGAAGTACACGCATCGCACAACTACAAACACAAAACGAAAATGCAACCTTACAATAACCCCCACCCCACAGCTGATCTTGGATCACGCTAGACCTCTCCTTTTTAACATTTCAGCCGGAGAGAGGAGAGCTGACCTGCCAGCCCCCACCATCTCAGACAGGCCTGGCCGCACCGGGCGCAAAGCCAAAGTGTGAAAACCCGGCGAGACTCTTCCTACCGCTTCTGCTTAAAGTTTCTGACAAGAGCGGCCCCAAACCACCCCCAAACTAGATAAACAGAAAGAAGTAAAATCTCACTTACCCGGGATGAACCGGTATTGCGGCTATTTTAGGGATAAGCGTAGCGAAACGGTCACCACAAGATGTCCTCTCGCTAGCGAAACGACACAGGTCGGAGGGCTACCGGGGATCTCGGCATATAAACATTAAAACTCGACCGACTCTCCCGCTGTTAGACAACAACTGCTTAAGATTTGTACCCCCCACTATAAAACGGTTGCTTTTCGGCTTTATTAAACCTGTTGGAGCAAAGCCGTGTCTTATCAGCCTACAGTGATTTGAAACCCAAACCAGCTCTTGCGCCGCACAGGAAGTTCCGTACTGGTAACCCGGATGTGTTGTCAGCCACAGCGACCGCCTGCTGGTTACTGCGTTTCTGGAGTATTTTTTAAACAAATTCGTTAACCGCACCCAAAATGTTATGGTGTAATACTTCATATTCCAAAGTAAATTTATATAGGATCATTTCATACTGATTCATAACTACTTACACTCTTCATGTCATCACTTTTCCTTTCTGAACATTCACAACTTACCACCCGTAATAATACTAACAGCTGTGGAGGTTTAAATAATTGATTGGTCACTTGTTCAGTATTTTTTCTTAACTTCTGAACCAATGCACATGAGACTGAAATTAATACCTCTGAAGCATTCTGGGGGCAAATCTCACTAAAGTGTTTGTGGCACTGCATATCACAGCACTGTCACTGAACTGTCCTCAGTGATTGACTGTCCTTATTCTCCGGACTCAAGGGCAGAACAGTTGTCTCCAACACACACATCGTGCTGAGGTCAGAGTCGTTAAATGCTGCATAGTGGCAGCTGGGCTCTCTGGGAAGAATAGCATTTCTTGTAGGCTGCAGCTGTTGTATCTTCCCCAGAGCAGATCTGGGGCTGTCACACCTGGTAGTCAACCTCCACAAGCACCGATAAATAAAGCAAAACATCACTAAAAATACTTATCCACATACAGATCAGACTTGATGGATGATACTGATAATTTCTCATCCTATACTACACCTGCCGTGACGCACATTTCTTCACGACATGGAAGTCTAAACCCATGACCGGTACATTTGGTTAACAAGCAGATGTATTTTGCTTTCCTAAAAAATACTCACCTAAAAACATTAAACACACTCGGATTTTCTGTGACTTCATGCAAGCACCGCATAATCAGCTGCAATCAGTGGTAGATTTAATTTAAGTCACGGTCAAAAAAACGTGTACTGTTGCCGATTATTTTTTCTAATTAATCCAATAGCAATCCTATTTTCTGTCAGCTGGTTGTGCGGCACAAAGAAACAGGCAGAACTGGACAGGGGAACGTTTTTATGACCCAACCTAATTCAAGATCAAAACGTCCGACATTCAAACGGCAAGCAAGCTCTGAGAAGACCAGGCGAACCAGGAGAAACCACTTCTCGTTCTATAAACTGCCTGTACAAAAACAAAATGAGTGGGGAAACTGCATTCAACTCAACAAAGCAATTCAAATTTCCACTAACGTCCGTTTAATTAAAATGTTACAAGAAGGAAAAAAATATTTTTGCATTGGAAACAATTCTAAACATAAGGGGTTTGTTAGAAGTCACAATGGTACGTGTCTGCGTTCTGAAAGCGCTGATATCCGGAGTCCTGACACGTGGTGAAAGACAGCTCCTCTTGCTGGGTCAGGAACAGACAGCTGCGTCTACTTCTCATTTACCCTACAGGCCTAGAAGTGACAACTAACCAGTGAACTGAGCAGCACATAAGAAACACAACAGGCAGCAAATGAGAAGGTGCCCTTCAGCAACTCTTTCACTCATTTGTTAGTAGTTTAATAGTTTTAGATATGAGAATCTCATCCAGCCCTTTCTTAACCAACTCCAGGGGGACTCAGCTTCAGTAACACGGCTGTTTCATCAAACCTGTGTACTGACATGGTTCCCCACTGCCACAAACGTGCCAATGAGGAAGATGGGTCAACCAAACGATTCAGTGAACTCAAAGCAGCCATCGTGAAAGGCATGGAAGAGGACAACGAAGAAACGTTCATTCTGTTTCACCATTTCATCTCTCTCCACATTACACAACATTCAATCTCAGTCTCTTAAAAACAATCTCCCAGGAGAATGACTCCGGATGTTCCTGCCCGTTCCTTGGACAGGAAATTAAATGTTTGTGAAGATTTCTGATAAGAGGGTTTTGCCACTCATTAGAGATGCTCCTCAATCCTGGAAGGTTCCAAACATTTCTTCCTCTCTTCCCAGCTCCCCTCCCTGAAAGAGCAAAGCCAAAATCACTGCTACATCAAGCACACTAAGTACCCACCAAGCCAATCTGTTTCATTTACGGAATAGTGTCATAACAGAAAATACGTCAAGGGACAACTTGGTATTAAAACTTAGATACATGATGCATTAAGTAACCCTCCTTAAAACATAAATCATACATTATCATTCTAAGGCTACAAAAGGTAATCCGGGACTCCTTTAATCCCTTGCGATGATAATTTACCCCATGTACCACCCTTAGCAAACTACTGGCAAAGCAACTGCCTGGCGGGGGCGATGCTGTCAGAACAGACGAGCATCAATTCCAAGAAGCATCCAATGTCGGAACGGTGAAAAAGGGTTAATTGTAACACTGTAAAATCCTGGCTCTCAGGACAGATAAGTATAGCGGACAACACATTTTTTGTAAGACATAACTTATTTTTTTTAAAAGGAAATGATAACAACAAGGCAAGCTGACAGCACTTTACGATGTTTAAAAAGCTACGTTTTCCCGATTTGGAAGTTAACTATAGCAGCAATGAAAAATGACTGAAATCAGACTGACTAGTGCTCATGACTTAAGCACCTCACTGTTGGACAACAGACTGACCATTTGTTTTAGCTCCCAGCATGCTTTGTGGCTTCTACAGATTGGCCCTTCTCTGCCGTACAGCTTGAAGACGTCTGTATTTGTTCTGGATGCTCAGGCCCACTCGGACAAATCCAGGCTTCTTCCACCTGATGTTCTTCAGAAAACCAAAAAAAGACACAACATAAAGCAGATGGCAAGAAACAATCCCAGCACTTCAAACACGCAAGTGTTTGCTCAAGAGGCCCATGCAGACTGAGCTTCCGCATTTCTGAGGAGAAAATACTTTTTTTTTGGCTGGTGAAACATCCATTCATCCGTTTTCTAACCACTTAAATATAAAGAAGAAAAACACAACTTCTTCAGCTTTTTCGAAAGCTTCTTCAGCCGTTTCAAATGCGTTAACATTTATCAAAGTATGGTTACGACCAGAAGCTTTTATTGCTAGATCCTTAATTTTGGAACACATGCGTAATGATCAGAAGATAATCCGACTGCGTGAGGGAATCTCAAGAATTCAACTTACCATAGCTGGACCAGTCTGCCCATGCATAGAATTACCAGCCAGATCTGACCGGGGAAAATGTCTCTCTTCTGCATTTTCCCTTCGGAAATCAGAATCCCTCCTGTTGGAAATGAAGATGTGGAAACATATTCAGAAATACATGTACATAAACATACATGCACCGAGAACCATGAAGCTTTTATGTTGCAAAACGGCCAGACATCTTGCCAAAAGCTGTAACTGTGCCACCCTTCAGGACTGCGAAGGCATTCACCTGGCAGGGAACATCTGGTGCTCTGGAAAACTGCCTGCTGGGAACCTTCTCTCGTCCGAACCCAGCCGCCTCTCCTGCCTGCGCCGTTCCAGGTCATGTCGGAGATCGTTGGGGTCGATGATCTGTCGCGAGGTGGTCTGGCACCAGGAGAAGCAGACGAGCACATGAGCACATTAAAATACCCCGGCTCTCAGTCTTGTCTGCCACTCACTCTAACCAGGTACTGTGCACCAGTGTAAGGTGCTCAGCTGTGCATCTCCAAACGGGACGACTATGTTGAGTTTTTTTTTTTAGTTACCTTCAAGAATTCCATCGGGAATCCTTCCTTCCTCAATTTTTCCTCTTATTGAAAAAAACTATCCTGAAACCGAAAAACAATAAGCAAACAGAATCATCATACCTTCAAGTTTCTTATGTCCCTGTTGATTTTCTGCACCTTCAGTTCCGATAGAGATAAATCGATCCGTCTGCATTAAAGAAAACAGAAAAAAGTCATTATTTTAAAAGGGAACTGCAACGCTATTTTTATATGTCGGGGTTAGAAAAAAATCACCATCGATGAGTGCATTCAAACCACAATGCACATAGTGCCTTGTAAAACTTTGTTTTACATCACAATATATACAAATGTGTGTTTGCGACAACATGGTTAAACTTACAGTACCTTCACAAAGTTCAGACATCAACAGGCTGATACCACAGATTCGCATTCTTAACTCACCAAACAGGCTTAATCAATAAAGCCCAGGAAAACTGAAGGTAAGGTTAAGTATGACAGACAATCAGGGCTGCCCAGTGGCTAATCCCCTCCATGAATTCAGGGTCTGCTCACACTGTATGTGGGTTCTTATAGTCCAGGTATGGTCAGCACGAGCTGTCATTAACTAACCACATTGTATAATGGTGGCATGAAACTAGCCAATTTAAAAGTTCATAGGAATAAAAAAAAAGCCATTTTTAAAAACGATAACTACGAAAAGCTGTCGAGATAACAATAACAGAACATTGCAAAATTCCAAGTCTTTTTCTCTATGAAACTGTTGATGAGAGGGATACCGGTCAATCCTCAGACTCTCGTTTGGCCATTCCTCGTCTTGCGATCCAGAGCCCAGAATACTGGAAAAGCGGTCGTTTAGGGTGATTCCTTTATCCTTGCAGTAACTCTCTGTAAGAGAGCAAGGAAAAAAAGGAGACGTCACTGCAGGTTTCAGATGCACCGAACCCTGTTTCCAGAGAACACGTGCATCACACCTGTAACCTGAAGGTGGCACGCTAAGGTGTGAAGGGTTAATCTCCCTTAATTTCGGATAGTAATAGAATACTGGTGATTGCTCATGCAAGTGTTCATGTGTGAAGAGCCAACCTTTGACTTGGTGCACCAGAGTGATAATTTCCTGGGCGAAGTCCCCAGAACCCACAGGCCGCTGTCCAGGGGAGCCCCCGTTACTCTTCACAGGCAGGTCAGGGTACGGCCGCCTCACGTGCACCAAATCCAGGGACAGCTGTCTGTCAGATGAGTAGGAAGACAGCCTGCCAACAGCATTACACAAGGGAAAGGAACACCATCAGCTACAGCCTGGATTATCAGGAGAAGCCTGTTCCCCCCCGCCAGCAAAAATATGTTTCACACAAAAAAAAAAAAGTCAAACTTTTGGAATAGGAAAGCTTTCCTTACCTTCCTAAGAAGACCTTGTGGTAGCTTTCTGGAGGATTTACACCGAAAGGGTGACATCCTGTATTACAACATTTTAGAATGTAATGTGGAATCCAACAACTTGTGACACCCTACATTGCCAAGCAGCTATATCATCCTGCAACTCACAGCCGGCAGCCCATGCAAAGCAGGTTTGAGTCTGGCCAGTACCTGGATGGGCAACCTCCTGGGAAAAGTAAGGTTGCACCTGGAAGAGGTGCTAATGCGGACAGCAGGGGGCGCTCACCCTGTAGTCTGTGTGGGCCCTAATGCCGTATAGTGATGGGGATGCTATACTGCAAAAAAGGCACAGTCTTTCGGGAGAGGCGTAAAACCGAGGTCCTGACTCTCTGTGGTCATTAAAAATCCCCGGGTGTTTCTTGAAAAGAGTAGGGGTTTTAAATCTGGTATCCTGGCCAAATTTTCCACTGGCCTTTACCAGTCATGGCTAGGTAAGAAAAAAATCCCCATCTCTGAACTGGCTTTATAACTCTGTTCTCCGCTTCACTGATAGCTGATGTGTGGCGAGTGTACTGGTTGCTGTTGTAACATCCAGACAGGTAGTACACATTGGTGGTGGAGAGGAGTCCCCATTACCTGTAAAGCACCGTATAAATGGAAGAAATTATGTACGCTCTGTTGGGGCTGTTCCAGCAAAGCTGCAGTAATCCTGTTTAAACAAGCACAAGGTTAGCTTTAGATTGCTCAATACGGTTGCCATACAGTACTCTCAAAGTCTGAAGGTGTGCATTAGTCCCACAGATCATGGCAACACCAGACTGGAAACAGTCCAAGCGTCCTGTCTGCTGTAACCTCTCGTTTTCATTTAAGCAGCAAAGTTTTTTCAGAGCTGCAAAAAACACCTGTGTGTTGGTTTCCTGTCATCAGGCACCTCCAGGTCCAACACAGTTCTTCAAGATCTGCCAAGAAGAAGAGAATCCGGAAAGGAGAAGTAATTTTGCAGCAAAGCCGGGACTTAGCGGTCATTGTTCTTCTCATTAATTTTGGTGAGTAAGTGGCTCCAACAGGTTCATGGATCACAAACTGGTTATACTCTCAACTCTCAGACAAAAAGACTCCTCTTCCGCCAGACACTCCCCCAACCACCAAGCTCCTCCTCTCTCTTCTTCAAAGCTACTGGCTCCATCGTGCGGATGACTTCATCAGAATCTGAAAATGTCCTTATCCTTGGGAAATGGGATTGTACATCAGTGCATTGAAATCTTTCCAGTCACGAAAAATACAGTTGTTGAAAAAGAAACCTAGGTTTTGTGAAACAGCCACTTGCCAACTGTACAACAAGTTTCCTATTTTCAGTGGAATTGCTTCTTTGCAAGACAGTCCTTTCCAGTTAGAATGGCCACATGTTTCACGTTACTACGGCTTCAGCAATAATGGATTACCCTTCTTCTCCCAGGACTACTCTCTCCCAATCCTTTGTCTTCTTGCCCAAATGGGCGTTTGAGATTTGGAAGTGCAAGTGGCTGGAAGCTGTCTGGTCTTTCCCATGTGTACTGCAATGGCTAATGACTTAAAGGTTGACCTTCATGACCTGGTATATAGATGTACCTAATTTAAAGCCATTTCTCTCTCTGGCCACTGATGTTTCCAGAATGGGCCACCTGTCAATTCCTGAATTCTGGAAAGGAAGAGCAAGGACTACAACGTTGCACATGTTTAATCTTCTAATGCCAAACTCCGGGGAAGCAAGGAAGAGGGAAATCTCCGATTGCAAAGGGTGCAACCCACTAGCTGAAGTTGTAGAACAATTGGATGTATCCAGCTGCACTAAAAGAAGGCTCTCCCCAGAGTCACAGATCCAGTTCACAATCCCAATTCTATGTATGTAGCTGTGGCGATCCTTAAGTTCTTGTACCCTTTAGGCAGCTGAATGGTCCAATTACCCCCACATCAAGCAAAACAAGAGTGTTCCAGTGCTCCGAGCAGGACCCACTGGCTGCCCAGACTTGTCGGGGGTTGGAAGCTAAGCCTCCTCCTACAGGAAGATTGAACACAGAGGAGATCCTGTGGCTGCTGGAAGTTGTGTTGTGGAATAAAACATCATGGAACTACACTGCTTTTTCAGAGCACTTAAAGTGGTCGCTTTGCTACAACTCTTTCCTTTTTGAAAGGGAATCCATTGTGCATCAAGGCTAAAACAAAGCTCTCAGAGACCCTCATCAAAGCAGATTCATGGCAAAGTGCTGTTGCCATAGTACCACAGATGTGCCCCTCCATGTGTGCAATAACTACAGAAACACACAGGTGACCCACTAGTGCTGTGTAAGAGTGGCTGGGGTCTTTATCTGAGGCATTGGGGCATGCCTGGGCATGTTGGGAAGTCTTCTTAATCCAGCTGTCTTTGGCAATCACATTTCAATCAATAATGTCCCAAAATATTTTTGTATTGACTCACCTTAAAGCAATGAAAAATTTAAATTCCACTGAGAACCCCAAAGCAAAACTGACCAAAAGAATATGGCACAGAACTAATCATTTTTACCTACCTGCTCCAACTTCTAAAAAGTTAAACATTGACAATGAACTTAAAAATCATTGAAGACAAGTGGCGTGGAAGACGAAAGACTACAAAGACCTGTGGTTTTACTGCTGTCCACCGGATCATCATGAACACAATTCGAAGCTCTAGTTATTCTCAGAGGGTGAAATCTTAGGATCCTCCACCTTTCCTTAATCATCCTGTTGGAACACAGCTTTGAAAATTTCCTCCGACCCCTCCACTTTTGCCAACCCGACTCTGGAAACAAGACAGGGAACCAGATGGGAAGACGGCCGTCTACAGCCAGTGTGTGTCCAGATGTAGCCTTCAGATGGAGAAGCTCCTATTGGATTTTTAAAGGGCCACAGCAGATGAAGTCCACTTTGTTTTGACTCGGACTGGAAACGTGAGGCTTTCTGCTTTTAATCGGTTCCGGGACAATTTCTGCACTGCTGCCTCCATTAAAGAAAAAAAACAGTAAACATTTCTGCATCATCAGATACGATGACGCACAGAGGCATAAAAACATTATTGGAGATTCATGTTCTCCACTATTCTTTTCAACCAAGCTGCTCCTTTCAAAAGGCAACTCTGAAACTGCCAGGAAGGTCTTTTTCAAAGGCCACCCATCATCAGATCGTGGCTGCAATCCAGTGCCACCATGGTCAGGACACCTGAGGATCGTAGGACGCACACACAGGTAGAAGGTAGAGGCACCTATTCTTGTAATCAACATGTCTTTGGGACAATGGAGAGGAAACTGGGGTACCCGCAAATACGCCCAGCTCTGTGGCACCCCAGTCTGGAATCTAACCAAGGACCCATGATCTGCATCACCACTGTAGCGCCTCTTCCTTCATAATCCCCACTCTTAAAACAAGGAAAGCCAGGCATGGTGATGACAATCCTGTATGCGTCCATTGGGATTGCGGTCCCTGGATGAAACAGATTACGCTGAAGGAAACGGACAACTCTGTGCTGAAAAACAAAATGTCTCCCTTCCTTGACCTACTGCACTCTTCTTGCACTGGTTTAGACAGGTTCCAACATTTTAACGCCTCCACACAGCCGTCTTCACATCAAGCTCTGTGGTGCTCCTTTTATCTCATTGCTGTTACACCTGGTATTCATTCTTATTAAACGAATCATCTGGAAGCAGTGACCTTCATTGATGAAACCTTGATGGATCTGCCACTAACCAATCTCCCAGAGCGGCCAGCATTCCAAATATAACGGTGGATTTCACGACTTTTCACGGCTCAAGGCAGAACATGCTGAAAAGGAGAACCAACTTTTGAGCTAGCCTTTCAAAGAAGCAACACCAGATACTGTACCTGGATTGGGCCATTGAGTGCGACATGTCCACTTTGATGGTAAGGGTCTCATTGGGCCGGTTCCTGAGATTGCCTGGCGGAGACCTCGAAAATTCACCTTCTCCTTGTCTGCGGCCTCTATCTTCTGGCACTTCCCCCCGTGCTGCGGAGTGCTCCCCAGGAGGCAGTTTTCCTCTCGGGTGATCAGCCACAGGAAGCCTGAGGTCCACGTCACCGTTGGTGCCATGGACAGGGCGTGCTGGTCTGCTGGGCTTTAAATGGGGCGTTGCTCCATCCTGCTGCATCCTCCCCCTGACAAGGGGGCTCTGTCTATTCGGGGGAGCCCCAAAAATGCCCTTGTCTCTGTTCTCGTAATTCCTGGGCTTGTGGCGTCTTTCTCCTGGCACGTCTTGGGGATACTGGTGACCGTACTCCTTTTTACGCCGCATGTCATCTTCCGCCTCGCAGGGCTCTTGCCGGCTCCGTCTGCTGCCGTCACTCCCACCTCTTCCGCCACGCGCTTGGCCTCCAGAAGCCTCTGCTGCAAAAGGCGGCCGGTCGAGGCTCCTGCGACGCTCCCGTTTTTCAGACCTCCGCGCCTCTATGTCTGCCGAGAGCCCGCGCTCCTTGTACCTCGGCTCCTCGCGACACCTGTGTCGACATAAAGCAGTTAACACTTTCAACACACAGACAACAGAGAGCTGGACTACAACGCGCTGGGCTCCTGCGCTGCAGCACTGGGGTCAGGCACTGCAGAGAGCTCAGGGTTACTTGAAGAGTTGGGTGATGGACAAACTCCCATTCGAGACAATGCTTAGGGATATGAAGGAGAGACCCTAATTGAAAACCTCTTCCAATTAAGGAAAGAAAAGGATTATAAAGCAGTAACGAGCCCATGATAGTTTAATTTTTTTTTTACTGGTTGCGGCCTTAAGACTTTTACCCCCTCTTTACCCCTGCTGAACAGCTCTGCTCCTGTACCTCTCGGCATAAGAGCTCCTTCCGTGAAATTCCTGCGGATCTCTCTGCGGAGAAACCGAGAGCTTCCTATCTTGTGATCCAAAATGACCAGGGTGCATCCTTTCCGTCCACTTGTCCGCCTGTGGAGAGCGATCAGAGGATCTCACTCTGGGCCTCTTGCGGTCATGTCTGGGGCTGTGGCTCCCGACCACTCCTGGGGCACTGTCCTGGTAGTGCCACCTCCTGTGCACTGCGGGCGGTATTGGTTGGCATGGGTCCACTTCCCACGCGGGTCCACTAGGTCCAGATCTGGAGACAGCTTCCAGAGGAGGAGATCTTCTTCCATCGGAATGCCCATGGAAGCGCCTTGGAGACGGAACTCTTCTTTCCCCCGCGAATCGCCGATATTCATTCTGAGGTCCCGGTCTTTTGTTAATGTTAGGGGCATGAAATTGCGAGTGTCCCCGGTGGTTTGGGTACTGCCGGAGAGGAGAGCGCCCCCGGTGGTCGGGGTACTGCCGGAGAGGAGAATGATGCCGGTGGTCGGGGTACTGCCGGAGAGGAGAATGATGCCGCTGGTCGGGGAACTGCCGGAGAGGAGAGCGCCCCCGGTGGTCAGGGTATTCCCGGAGAGGAGAGCGCCATTGACAAGCAGGGGATCCCCGCTGCGGTCGAGGGGAGCGTGATCTTTTCAGGGCCACAGGTCGTCCACCAGCATCCGGCTCTGCTTGTCTGATGCCCATCACGGGGGGGCCGTCTCCGTACTGCCTCCTGTGCCCCCTGTAAGACGCTCCAGCGCCCATCTGCCCAAATCCTCGGCCTCTCGGGTTCGCCCACTGATCCCTCCTCCCTTGGTGCTGCTTAAACTCTGCAAACCCATCTTTCGGGTACTCACTCAGGTCACCCCTCCCCTCACCACGACCCGGGCTTCTCCTGTACAGGGACGAGGGCCTGTGTGAACAGACAGGAATTGCATTCTGTTATCCTTCTGTAGTCGGTACTTCTCTGTATGTTACATATATACAGAGAAACATATATACAAATGTCTACATATATACTGCAAACCCACAAGTCCAGCTGCCGGCATATAACTTCATGTTTGCTGTGAATTCTTGAGTCTTTATCATTATTTGTGGTTCATCACCCCTCAAGCGACTCTCGTTTTGTTCAATCTCTCTTTTCAATTCAGATAGTGTGCTAGTTCATACACAAACGTATATAAATAAATTTAGCCTTCTCTTCCCTCTTTTGCATTTTAATTGCTGTCACACAATAGTAGCGCCATTACTCATTGGCACTTGCTACTTATGAAACTGTGGTACTTTATACATCACCTTCGGTAAAGGCTAAATCTATTTTTATACATCTATGTATGAACTAGCATATTAAACACTGCATCAGCATTGTGCATTCCCATCATGGTTATTTCCCAATGTTTTATATTTAAAAAATATCACTAGTTCAATTACAACAGGAGAACAATTTTAAAACTACAAACTTTCCCACTAACCTGCGTGGATAACCAGGTGATCTGGAGTGTGGCCTAGACATAATTAGGTTTACCTTGGGAAGCAAAAAAAGAAGAAAAAAATACGTAATCAGTAAAACGCAATGATTTTTACGTTTCACCATAACAAACGCCTAACACCCAAGCCTGAACCCAGAACTCGCCTTGTGTAGGTGACAGTCTTGACATAACCCTCCCACACGTCTTAAATACGCGTAGAGAGCAGCTGAACACGGTGCCATGAACTTGGCAGGTACCACTACATTCTCGTCTTGTTTTTCGCAAAAACATTGATTAGAAGAGTAAAGAAGAAGAGACTTCACAATCGGTGGAAAAAAAGATTCCAACGGACCTCAGCAAACCGCAACGCGCTAAAACATGTCGCCTTTGTACGTTTTAACTCTGATTAAATCCCGCGACGTAAAGTCGAGAAAACACACAAGCGAGAACCAAACCGAACCCAGCTAGTTCTCAAACCCCATCCCTGCTTTTCCCAGGTGCTCGGTTACTCGCCTTCGCCAGCCTGAGACGAACCACATGTCTCACCTGAACCGCGTCCTTCAAGAGCGCCGGCGTCTCTTCTCGACCAACGAGGCTGAACACGTCGCGGAGCTTTTATTAAAATCCTCCAACTGGTAGAACCGGTCGGTACCGCCAATGTGAACACTCACATAATGTTCCGACCAAAACGGTAAAAACACAGACACTCTCCAGGTAGGGGAAAGCCTTCACTGCTCTGTCTGTAAATGTTGTTACTCTCTAGACCGGAAGTAAACCCCCCTCGGTGGATTAATAACCCGGAAGTATTTGTGAAGGGAAAACAGCGCCCTCTAGCGCACTCACGTGTGTAATAATGCTGTATTGAGTTGTGGATAAAAACCAGCACACCGGCTTATATAAAGCCATTGGTTTTTTTTTCTTACAATCTATTCAGTATCTGTAATTCAGACCCTGAGACTTTTTTTTTAATGCTGAATTTTACATTATGACTGTTGCGTTAGAACTTATCAGGGTTTGCAAGACAGTTAGGGCTATGTTTAGGATGAACAGTAAGGTACAGGTTTTAACATAATTACTTCAAAGTTCAGTATATGGTTTGTGTGAGGTTGTAATTTTAAAGTTTCAGTTTTTAACTGAAGGATCAGGATTGAATTTAGGATGATTCCTTTTGGCTAAAGCAAATCGTCTCAATCCTGGTCCTGGAGGGTTTCAGTTCTCTTCAAAGCAGCAACACAACACGATCTGAGAGAAGCAGTTCAATTCATGCATTAAGGACAGTGACCATCTCATTTAGCTTGTCAAGAGCTGATCTGGAACACAAACTTCCAGACACACCTACTCTCCAGAACCAGGACTGGACAGCCTTGAGGTGGAATGAGGCCATGTATAATTTCAGATTCAGAATTTTAGGGAGTAGACTTTAGGGTGTTGTTTCGGGGTTACATTAAGGGTTAAGGTTAGACTAGGAGTTTGTAGTTATAACAGTTAGGCTTGCAGGAAACTTAGGACTGCAGTATGGCTTGATCACTATGGTCTTCTTTGGGGTTGGAACTAAAGGCTAAAGCTAAAATTACAGACATGGTAAAGGTTGAGGCTGAAGTTACAGGTTAGTGGTAAGGCTAGGATTAAGGTTAGAGATAAGACTTCCTTGATTTTAGGACTAGAACTTCATTTAGGATAGAACTTCATTAAAATTCCTGGGAGGGCTTCAAAACAAATAAAGGAGCTGCAGAGCTGCTGGATAAAAGAATGGTGTCCATGAACAGCATCTCTCTGCAATCCTCCCTATGGTTTCTTTCAGTGAAGATTTTTTCTGTCCACGCATCTTCTGTGAACGTTTCGATGTTCTGGATAGGGAGAAGCTGATAAATTAGGCAAGGAGAAGGGTACCAGCATTTCAGATTTCAAAACATCCAGTTCCAGCAACAAAACCACAATGAATCTGTTAGCCCTGACACATTCCCTGTGAAGAACCAGAGTGGGTCAGAACCCTTTGGGTTATCAAGTCCAACACCTATAGCCTGTTATTCAGAATGATGATTAAATGATTGATGATGTGATGAATAATGATGAATGAAAATGCTTTTTTTCAATATGTTGAAGGGTATAACAAATGAATGCATGCTGCATTTTATACAGTTTATAACTAAACCAGGTTTTAACAATCACTTCTAGATGTCTTTTATTTCAGCACCCTTTTGAAAATCAGGCTGCTACTGTACTTCACTTTGACCCACACTGGGCACCACTCCTTGCTGACCAAGGTGTGACAGGCTTCCTAGATTAATGCACTCTACAAACTGCAACCTCCCTGCTGGATTTCCAGACATTTGTATTGCTCCAGCTTTCTAAAAATAAAACTGCAGACTGAATTCATTAACATCCTGACGTGTTGTGTGCTGGTGTAGGGCAGTGCATGAATCCAGGAAAATAAACGAGGAACAAAAAAGACAAGAGTCAGACTCGGAATGAGGATAGTTTATTTTCTGCACATGCCGATGGTTTTCATGCACCAGGTCTACAGTAAATACAGTCTTAACAAAATAATCGCGGCGCGGCGCGTTTTTCAGATACAGGACGGCATACAGGATAATATTCAGAAATCAGCTCTTTCACTAGACCTTCTCCTGTGGATGAGGCCAGGTTCGGAAGACCCCCAATGGCTTGTCGCTCTTCAAGTAAATATTTTTCTACAAAGACATTTTTGTCAAAACATATTATGGAAAAAAAAAACATGTGCAGATGGTCACACACACACACCAAGGGTTCATACTATACAAGGGATCTACAGTACCTACTCGTTAGTTTCAGAAGCTAAGGTAACACTCGTCTGCCTTCATATGGGCCTTGTGGATTTTGTTTTTTGCGCTACCTGTGAAAATCGCAGAGGGAGAAAGCATTGTACACTGAACAGCCAACACTGAGAATCCCCTGCTGCCACACAGAGGTGCTGAACGTAAGAGTTAAATACCTTAGAAAAATAGTAGATTCATTTGAATGGAAATACAGTATATGGCACACATGCTGCACGTCTGGACTGATCAAAGCAAAGCAACAGGTAGAATGCAGGGCTGGATGTCTAAGGATGGCATAACTGCTGCACACAGTGAGCTCCACCATCTTCCTAGGAAGCAGCGTCTCTCTCCAGATACCACTACGGGCAAAGCGTTTTGTAGCAACGGAGCACTTTCTCCTTCAGCGTCCGCCTGCTGCCCCCCAGCTTCAGTCAGCCCCGACTCCGCCGCTGCGCTTGCAGTGAAGGTAGGGGGCGATGTGCAGAACTGAATCGAAGAGCAGGGCAGCAAAAAGGCCCCTCGACTCATTCAGTGCCTTTTCTTTTTTAATACAGAGTGGGGAAAAAAAGGAGGAATTAACGGAACAGTGTTTGCTTTTTTTGGGGCTCTTTCAATCGGTTTTATGATAGTTTTGTTTTTAAAACTGGGCATCGTGACAGGCGTGGTGAATTCGTACAGAGATGGCTCTGGGCAGGTGCTTCAAGCCCATGCACAGACAGTAAAGGTCATCGATTGTCTCATGTTAATATGCAGGAATTACTGTTCCTCTCCCACGGGTGATCAGACTAGCTTTCATGGGACTGCTGAATCATTAGTATCATTTTAGATATCTGGATCATAGTCACTCTACATTAAAACAACTCAGCTTTGCACGCTCACAGTTAAGTCTACACACACTGCACAGTTTCTCTAGAACAGATGTCCAGAATAACACACAGTTATACAACTCACTACCAGTTACTTTGGGGAGACTTGTTTCCTGTCTTATAAATTCCTCAAGGGATGCTAAAACAATCATAAAAAAACACAAGAATCCAGGCAGTTTTCAATACAGGACATCTGCCAGTCACAGCAGGGGGATTTCTTGATGTTCCCTGAAATAAATAAATCAGAATACAAAAATAAAAAAGGTCTTCATTTCTGAGTCCCGTCATCCCTGTCTTCAGCTGTGAAGAAGCGGATTGAGGGTGTCTGTTCCAGTGCTCTCTTTTGACGAGGGAGGGTTTTGGAGGAAAACGGAAAAGGACGTTCCTGCCTCCGGCAGGCGGGGCTCTCCTGGGAGAAGACAGCACAGCGGCGCAGCAGGTGGGCTCACAGCGCCGTCAGCGGAGCGCTGAGAGGGAGAAGAGAGACAGTGCAGTGGACAGGCCGAGGACCCGGCCCCAACGACAACACTGCGAAAAGGAGCAATGCACCTCTCACGGTGCACCCGGGTCGCGCAACCACATCGCACCCCACTAATCCATGGGGTTCCCCGTCCTCAACCTGGAGACGCGCACACCTGCCGGCGTCCGTTCCGGTTCGGCTCCCAGCCACAAAACTCAACCCTCCATTCGCATCAGAGTGGGATTAATAAGAAGTCACTTGATTGTTGAGTGAGACATATACACCAATATGTCAGAGACTGCTTTTTATCTATTGCATTGCTGAAGTTACTAACAACTGTCAACAACCGGAGGGACTTTTCTTGCAAGTGACCCAATCAAGCAACTCGTCAGTTCAATTAAGGCTTCACTTAGATAATGAAGCTCAGCTGGAAAATAGCCCAGCAGGTGTGTGGGCTTCCAGGACCAGGATTGGGAACCACTACGCTACACTATTTTTTCTGTATACAGAGAATTTCTTATTGAAACGCCTTTACCGTTATCTTTAAGCAATGTTGTAGCGCCCTACAGATTGTGGCAGAAAAAACGATAGCATGTCTGACTAAAACCGCGCTGCGGATATGCTATCAGTCTGCCGGTTTTAAAGGCCACCTGGGAAACTTGTGTCTCAATCAATGTAACACCTTTAAGGGACCTCAGTGTGCAAGGTCACACAGCCTTCCCTCCTGAGATCAAAGCTACTGCCTTAACCAGCAAGGTTTCTATCTCATGGGGTTAAGCGCAGGTGTGAAAAAGCATCACACAGGAAATTCCCAAGACTTGACAGGTGTTTCTCTGAGTCAGGCCTTTAGAGGCACCCTTTCGCTGCGGAGCCCACTCATCTTGATGACAGGATAAGGGAAGCTGCGCACAACCTGTCGTCCTCATTTGTAGCTGAAGTTTATGCAAGAATACAATTACCACACTTTAATAAGGATTAATCTCAAGATCTGCCCCTCCTGGTGTACATTTAGACATTCCTGTGCAGTGTCTATCCGGAGGATCAGGGAAGACGCATGTATGGACAGTGTGAGGTACCTGGCTACTGGATATTGGCTTTGTCTACGGCCTGTGCTAAGGACTCGATCAGCTGTGTGTCGGGGCTGGAGCTGCAGAAGCCCTCGATCAGGTTCTTGTTGCAGTCGCCCAGGGCGGCAGAGGGGCTGGTCAGCGGAGGGTAAGCCACGTGGCCGGTCAGGTCCAGCAGGTCCTCCAGAGCCTTGGCGTTGCTCATCTCGTTGGGATGCCTCTCGTTAAGGGGAGAGAACTCGGGGATGGAGATGAGCTCCTCTTTGGAAACAGGGCTAGAGGTGATGAAGGAGACCAGGGTTAAATTCTCACCCTTGTCGAGCGCGGTCAGAGCACCCGAACCACAGCAGCAACAGAGATACCGCCATCTGTAAAGAGTGCAGTCACAGGGTTCCCACCACAGCTACACTTCCAGATCCTCGCTAATCATATTTCTAGTGTAAATATCTACAGAATAAGGTTCAGTGCAGAGACTGGGGTTTTTTTCCTGTGTTGTTTTCTGCAATATGACTATTTTTTAAGGAGATGCCGTCTCTCAGAGGAGGTGTGCTGTCGATGTCGGCTTGTGCCACCGCTAAACATCCCCCCCCCCCTTCCAGCGTAGACGTTCGAACCCCTGTGCTGACGACGCCCTGACCGCAGGGGCACCCCACCTGACGTCCATGGGCTGCACCTCGTCCGCAGACTCGTCTGCACTCCCGCTCTTCACCTCTAGGGGCTCCAGGCTGATGAGGGGGGCTCCCGGCACCTCGGAGGCAGCGGGGGGAGGGGGGGCTATGCCACGTCCAATCACTGCAGGACACACACACACACACACGGCGCCATCAGAGACACGCAGTGCATGCGGTTCGACAGGAGACCTGCGCTGGGCATCTCAGTACGGACATGTACTGCTGATCAAGTCTGCAGTGAGTCCAGAACGTTAAGGGAACAGGCCGAACTCCTCTGCCTTGGGCATTTTAATACCCACGGTTTAAGGGCACCAAACAATTCTGAGCCTTGCCCATTGTAAAACTATCTCTATGTTCTATCGGGGAGAACTACAGAATCCTTTTCATAGTTAATCTGATATTTACAACACTGATTTGATCTAAATGCAACTATGTCTGGGATTATGTGGATGAATAAACAGACACTTCTGGAATCTGCTCGTGCTGGTTTTCACCAGCAGGTGGAGCTCATCCGAACGCCTGCTGCTGCAGGTGCAGCATGAGGGCCCAGCAGACGGGGAGAGAGCAGGGAGGGGCTCGTCCCCGACTACAGTCTCTAGCCTCTGTTATTGCCACACGGGTGTCTTCCTGCTCAGACTCCTCAGGAGCTGGAAGGACCTGTCCGGGCTGGGCGAGAGAGCCCGCGGCTCGTGCAGAAGACAGAGCCGCTGATCCTCACTCCTCAGCGCAGCCTCTCCGGCTCCATACCTCTCGACTCCAGCAGAGCGGACTGGACAGGCCTGAGGAAGCTCACAGCTGTCCGAGTCTCCAGCTTCACCTCTTCTTTCTGCGGGACGAGACAGGCAGTGGAGTCAGCTCTGCCTCTCCCCTCTCCTTCCTCCTCGCTGCCCCAGCAGAAAAGGAGAGCTGGGGGCGACCAGCAGCAGATTTGCACAGACAGCCCTGTGGCCCCGGCACATTACAGCCAGCACACCTGATTTCACCCGACTGCTCTGGGCAGCAGAAAGATGCCGAGTGGTGCCGGGACCAACGATGTCAAAAAGCCCTGGAGTGAACAAAGATTCTCTTCAGGCCACTTACCTTTGACTCAAAAGTGTCGCTCTTCCTTGTCCTCTTCATGATCTCTTCAATCCTCTGCAATCAGAGAGAGGCATTAGAATCCACCTGCTGCACCTGCCTCCCGAGAGGCTCAACCGGCGAAAGCTGAGCTCTAGGGCCGCGGGTTCGAGCCCGGGGTCACGTCACTATCCAACTGTGACCGAGGGCTCTGCAAAGTGTGTATTTTTTGCATTATATCAAATTCAAAAGTACTGCCCTTCAGTAGTCACACAGCAGTACTTTTTATTTTCTAATGATACTAACACCCCTGCTTCTGAAAGCGCCCGAGGGTGTGTCTGGGGATGCTGGTTTTCCTTTAGTCCCTGGTGTGGCAAGTTCTCACCTAGGACCCTGGGCTGGAGCAGTCTGAGCAAAGCGCCTTGCTCAAGGGTGCAAGAGCAGTATCCTGCCACCAGCTTTAACTCATGACCCTCGGTCCAGAGCCCAGAGCTCTGGGCAGGAAACATGCAATACTGGTCTGGGCACAGGGACCAGCTCTGTACCTTCTTCCTCTGCAGTCGCTCCTGTTCCATCTGCAGCTGCTGCAGCTCTCTCTCCTGGCGCAGCCTCTCTGCTTCCTGCTGGGCCCTGGCCTCCGCCTCCTCTCTCTGTATGGGACACACCGGCGTGATAAGCACTATGCCTAGAAACAGGACATGCCGCAGGACATGCACAGACACACTGCGCTGCACACA